CGTAATAGAATGGCTATAAATATAATTAAATAAAGGATATATTAGGGTATTAAACTCTCCAGCAGGGTACTTTATTATCTTTATATTAAAGAAAAATAAAAAGCTTTATTTAATTATTAATTATAGATAGCTAAATAAAATAACTATTAAAGATAAAATACCTTTATTATTAATTACTAAAATTAAAGAAAGGTTATAAAGCATGAACTAGTTTATAGCCCTAGACTTTATAGAAGCCTATAAACTTATAAAAATAAAGGAAGGATATAAATAAATAACTGCCTTTAAAATAAAATATAGATTATTTAAATACTTGGTTATACTATAAAGATTTATAAATATATTAGCATTATTTTAAAAGAGGATTAACTTTATTCTTAAGGAATACTTAAATAACTTTATAGTAGCTTATATTAATAATATTTTAATTTTCTTAAGAATATTAAAAGAATATAAGAAATATATTTATAAAGTATTATAGAAATTATAGGATAATAAGCTTTTTATTAACCTAGATAAATGCTAATTTTATATATAATAAATTAAGTTCCTTAAGCATATTATTACATTAGGGGAAGTTTAAATAAATTTAATTAAAGTTGCTGCTATTTAAGATTAAAAACCCCTAGAAATTTAAAAGGGATTATAAAGCTTTTTAAGATTTATTAACTATTATTAAAGATTTATTTAAAAATATAGTAAAATTATAAAACTATTAATTAATGCTATTTAACTTAAAGAAGATAAAAAGGGTAAGAAAAAATAAAAAAATAGGAAACTATTTTAGACTAATAAAATAAAATTAATATTTTAAGAACTTAAGAATGCTATTATTAATAAATTAATATTTACTATATATAACTTAAATAAGCCTGTTAAAATTAAAATAGATGCTTTTAACTTTGCTTTAAGAAAAACCTTAGGATAATAAAATAAAAATAGAAGACTTAAGCCAGTAGCTTTTTTTTTTAAAAAACTATATAGCCTAAAATTAAAATATTTTATTTATAATAAAAAATTCTTAGTAATTATTAAAGCATTTAAAAAATAGTAATATTATTGCTTAGGAAATAAATATAAAATTAAGGTCTACACTAACTATTAAAATATATTCTACTTTATAACTATATAATAACTCTTTGTATAATAAATTTATTACTTTAAATTTTTAATAGACTATAATTATAAAATTATTTACTATAAAGGAACAGAGAATAAGAGAGCTGATGCTTTAAGTTAAAAGAAAGAATATTTTAAAGAAATCCTAGAACTTAAAGCTTAAATTTTATAAAAAAATAAAAATAGTAATTATAAATAAATATATATTAATAATTTATTTACTATTAAAGAAGATTACTTAATTTTAAATAAAATTAGGGTATAATTTAAAGAACTATAGCTAGATAATCTACTATTTAATAAATTTCCTTAAGAAGTTATTATAAAAAATAATATACTAATGTAAGAAGATAATAAAATCTAGGTCCTTAAAGAATTATAAAATAAGGCAATAAAAGATATATATAATAGTATAATTACTGCTGTATACAGGGGCATTAAAACTACTTATAAATATTACTAATAGTATTACTGTTTTTAAGGAATAATAAATAGGGTAATTAATATAGTTTTAAAATGCAATATCTGTTAATAAGCTAAAAGCTTTTAATACAAGCTATATAAATAACTATAACCTTTACCTATGCTATAATATCTATAGGAATCTATTTTATTTAACTTTATTACTAAACTACTACTATTAAGAGAGCCAGTTACTAAAACTTTATATAATAGTATCTTTATAAGAATATATTAATTAATAAAAATAATATACTTTTTACTTTTTAAAGAAGTAAGTAGTATAAAAGACCTGGCCTATATAATAATAAAATTTATTATAAGTAACCATAGACTACTAAAAGAAATAATCTTTAATAAAGGCAGTATCTTTATATTTAAATTCTAGAAGGCACTTACTATTAGACTTAAAATAAACTATAAGGCAAGCACTATATATTACCTGTAAATAGATAAATAAATAAAATATATTAACTAAATAATTAAAATATATTTATAATATTATATTAACTTTAAATAAAATAATTAAGTAAAACTTTTATTAATTACTTAATTTATTTATAATAGTATATTATTAGAATTTATAGGAAAATTATTATTTTTTCTAAACTATAAATTTAAACCTAAAGCCTATAGACTACTTAAATAAAGAAAGAATATTAAAAAAGCTATTATTAAAGCAGAAGATATAATTAAATTATATAATAAACTAAAAATATAACTTAAGTTTATTTAATAAAGAATAATTAAATATATAAATAAATATAGGCTTAGAGAATTAACCCTTTAAAAGGGAAATATAGTTTAGTTACTCTACTATATATAAGATAATAAATAAATAAATATTAAAATAAATAAGCTAAATAATAAATTTAACTTTAAAAAACTTAAACTCTATAAAATTTTAAAGAAAATTAAAAAAGTAAATTATAAACTTAAACTTCTAGAATAATAGGAGAAGCAAGGAAAATATATATACCTAATATTTTATATTTTACTATTAGAAAAAGTATAAATTAATAAAAATACTAGAGAAATTATTTAAAATAAAATTATTATTAAAGGAAAAGAAAAAGAATATAAGGTAAAAGACATTAATGCTATAAAAATAGGGGAAAATGGTAAATAATGCTATTAAGTATAATAGGAAAAGGGAAATAAAAAAGAAGAAATATAGGAACCTATTAAGAACCTTATAAATATAATAGCGCTGGTAGAAAGACTTTATTAAAACCTAGGAATTTTAATAAAGATAGATCTATTTTTAAACCCCCTAAGAAATCCACCTGCTTTAAAGAAGCAAGGCCAGCCTTAGAAGAACTACTTGCTAACTGCACTATAACAGCCTAATAAGCAGCCTCTGCTTTTTTATACTTAATGTAATTTAATTCCTCTAAATCTATTATACTTTATTTAATAGCTTTCTTCATTCTCTTATACTACACCCGCTTTTGTTTTTAAAGACAAGCCACTTTTATAGCTGCCTTAGCTAGAATATCCTCAGCCTCCTCTAACTCCTCTTTTAAATAAAAATACTAAGTAAAGATATAATTAAGTTAATTAAGCATTAAACCTTAAATATTATAATAAGATTTATTTAAATAAATATACTTTAAATAATATAATAAATCTAATAAAGAAATTAAATAGGATTTATAATTTTTTATAATATAATAAAAATAATATTTATTAGACTTACCTGCACTAGATATTATAGCTTTTAATAAAAAATTGCATTATTGAGTTCTTTTATAAAGAAATCTTTTAATAATTTTATTTAATATAATAAAGGTTAATAAAAAGCCAGGAAGAAGTATTAGTAAAGAAACTAAAGAATAACTATATTTATTAAGTAAAGGATATATTATTTATATTAGAACTATAAGGTCTTGGGGATAAAATTAAAAAAGAGAAGTATTATATTATAATTTAACTTTTATAGTTATAATAATAAGCCTATAGGGTAGGCTAAACTAGATTAATATTAAAACAATAGACTAATTAAAAAAGACTTATTAACTTAACTATTAAGTCAGTGAGTTAATTTAATAAAACTTATTAATAAGTTTTATAAAACACTATAAATTTAGTTTATATAATTAAATATATAAGTTTACTTTACTATGCTTATTTAAATAACTTAAATAGTTAGTTGTTAATATAGAATTAAGATTAAAATACCCTTTTAAAGCTTATTCACTGGTGACATTATATTATTACTATTGCCCATAGATCTCCTGACCTATCCGCCAATATAAACCATAAGACCAGGTTTATCCCTTGGAAATCTTCCGAGCCACTAACTCTTATAGGACCTTAGTGACCAGGTCGTCACACCCTTCCACGATCGAACGACGAGATATAATCAGTATTCTCCCGCAAGGAGCTCATCGACTGGTTAAAAGCTTCCCATGGCTAGGCTAGCACGGAACGTAGTCTACGAGCACGTAGCAGAAAATAGCACTGGCATTCTCAAAGTCAGGTCTCTGAGTCGTGCGCCGCCGTTATAGGTCCGAAAATCTCTAGTCTAGCACATGACAGCCACTCATTAGCATTTTTAATCGAGCACACGCCAGCTTCGTTGCTGGATTTTCATCTCTTAAAGGATGTCATATTAAGCTCATGGGCCATGAAGAACCCATATGATATAGATTTCAGAATGATATTTGGTAGCCCAGAGACTGTGAAACGACCGCACTATGAGAGCTTTCAGGGATTACCAACTAGCATACTTGCTCCCTAAGCCATTTAAGGGCAATATTGGTGCAGCGGCATCCAGTTTTGGCAATAATCTTTTTAAATTACTTCATCACTTATTGTCTAGTTACTTCTAGCTGAACAGCAAAACTATCCGATGTAATAAGTATTTGAAAGACCATATCTCATGAGACCTTGGCGAGGTAAAACTTAACAAGGCCCACCCTGGGGAAATATTGTGCTCATTACTAAGCCATTGAACATGTATAATAGTAATCTTAAGTTGTGTAAAGAAAATCTAATACAATGGTTAGCTGGCTGAATGATATATCAGAGGCCAAGTGATGTATACCTGGATGCATATCCCCGATTTCTTCTAGGCTTTGTGGCCTGGAGTCAGAGCTCTCCGATGCATGCTGTGCTTGCGCTTTCTTTCCATTTAAATATCCAAGGTGCCAGCGAAGAATTAAAGAAATTAAAACCACTGCTATTGACATTCCCAATGAAGCAGTGTTTCCCCTTTTATCTGGAGTGTGTGTCAGATATATGCTAGCTTGAACCAATTGTCAATAGATTGGTGCTTACAGTATGGTGGGTCGTTATATAGCTGATTGCCTGCAATTGAAAAGGTTTGTGCACACATGTTAAACAGGGCCAAAGCGGCACCTCTGTAATCGCCAAATTAGATGATTCGTTTCTAAAATTGCAATTTGATTGGTCAAAACTCACCTCCTAGTATAGCCAATGAAGTTCATAGCTGCCCAAGACAGAACTAAAACAACTTTTGGATACATGCAAAACGCTATTATGCAGGTCGCAGCAAACCTAGCGTCGCGGTTTTCGATTCCTATTAGTATTGCATAGCCCACAATACCTCCAACTGTGGATAAGGCAACTGTTAACCCGCGGGCATTTGTTTTGTCTGCAATTCTAGAGAAAAGCAGTACACCTAAACAGGCACATCCATAGACAACGACAGTAAATAACTGAGCTCCAATTGAGCTGTATCCAAAACCCTATCAATTGTCAGCTTTATAAGACTTCACCCCTTGCTTTATTAGAGTGATGGTTGCTTACTCGAACGAGGGCGGGTAAGAAGTTAGATAGCGAAGTTATCGTAAAAAGCGACGCACAGTATAAAAGTGTAAAGAGCCAGAAATGGATGCTCCTAAGAAGTTCCAAAATTTTCTTTGGCTGAATGCGTACTTCAGATGAGTTGTGCGATCTTTTACTCCTTTTCACAAGCTCATCTTTTTCTCTTTCGGAGAAACCGTAGCGGACTTCTGAGGGTGAAGCTGGGAGGAAGGCCAAAACGATAAAGGCAAATCCGATGGGTAGGATACCCTCGATCAAAAAGATCCACTGCCAAGCTCTCCAACCATTTACCCCATTTAAGCTTTTGCTAATTCCATATGATAGCAGCCCATTAAACGCGCCGGCGAGAGTTGAAGTTGAGAAGAAAATGGCAGCTCGGGTGGCGAGCTCTTGGTATTCATACCAAAAAGAAAGATCTGTAGTATGGGCAATGTTTTAATATTTCTGCTTAGTTCACATTATATCTGAGCTCGGGGGGGGGGGGGGGGGGGNTGCATACAGAATGCGCCACCTTGAACAAAGGCTTCAGCAGCCCCAATGAGAAATCGCATAGCTATCAATTGTCCGCTGGATTTTACCAGCATCGTGAGGACCGTAAGTACACCCCACTACATATAAGGCAACAGTTAGCCAGGGCACTCTAAGGGTTGTTGCAAAGGTCGTCACATTACTGTTAACATCGCACCAGAAAATTGCACTGGCGCGCCAATTTTTTTAATCAGCAATGTTCCTGGGAGCTGGAATAGGACGTAAGAAACTAAAAAGATGGAGGAAGCATTTGAATAATCTTTCGGTGAGAGGTGCAGATCATCTTCTAGGCCAGCAACTTGAGCATTCGCCAAATCAGAGCGATCCTAAATGCATAAAATAAGCTTTTGAAGCACACTGTAGTGGTATTGGTAGCTCTCATTTACCATTGAACCAAAGAAATAGACGCTAGAAATAAGCGGAAGAACAAATAAATCAAGCTTCCATTTGAGCTTTTGCCGTTCTTTCTTACCAATTATTGAGTCGATCTGTAAATCGATATGCGAAGTAACTGTCTTGTATTCAGCCTCCAGATGGGCATCGTCTGACGTATTATTGGACATAGTCACAACTGCTTGACTGTTTAATATATAATGGAGATTGGAAAAGATGAGAAGTTGTCTATTTAAACACGGTGAAAACTACTCTTGACTCTTATAGTCTTTGGTAGCTACTAGTTGTATTGTTTTCCAGAGGCTGCCTAATAGAATCACCTCCCAAGTGGATATGTAATTGGGGGCAGAGTGGAGATTAAGGATTGCAGGGTGATGAAGCGAAAGCCGGTATATCAAGCGAAGAAACCCGATTGGATTGGTTTGTGCTGTCAGAGTGGCTAGGTCTCTTCCCCGCCAACCTTATTGTACACCTTTTTTTTCAAACAAGGACAATAGATGTTGGATTATACCTGGCAGCATACGTGGCCATTGCTAAGCCTCTATGGTCTCATTTGCGTCGTAAGATCAACGTTAATTACATACACCGCCATTAATACTTTGAAAAAAAGAAAAAAAGTTAATTTTCCAGAACGCATTGTTAAATGAATTACAGAGTATGCTCTAGTCACGTATTAATACGGCATTATATAAATCTCTAGCAATGACTTAAATTTTCCAAAGGATGATCTTTACTTCACATTGTATAACTCGAGTGTCGGTAGACATGACTTTGATCCAAAATTTATGTCCGTGGGGTGTCTTGAGTGAAGCCAAGAATAACTATTTCACATATACTGCGGGTTTCGCTTCCATATGATTATGGTTCTAGGAGCCATTAAGCGAGTTTCGCTTCTCAAATATAATTAGTTCTTATTTCTGCCTGATGAAATGAAACCTTTGCTTTTTATTACTAGAGCTGCTAAAGCAAGTTATTATTGGAATAACAGCATTAGCACAAGCCATCCTCAACATGAAAAATCTTCTTAGTACTGCCAACATACCCCCAGAATTCCTAAAATCTGTATATATGATAGGGAAAGTCCCCCGAAAGGCTCTTATTTCGGAACCACGAGTCTCTTACAGCCTATATATTCCGCCAGACCATTACAAGAATATCTTGCACGCTCAAGCAAATGGCACCCCACAGGCCGCATGCCGCAAGCTTCCTTTATTAGTCTTTATTCATGGCACTCTGCGTGATGATTCTTATGCCGAAAGAGGCCTTATGCCATTCGCTGAATCCACGCCTTGTGCCATTATGGCGCCGCTCTTCCCTGCCGGACTCGATAGCTCTGCCGACTTAGACTCGTACAAATTACTTCGATCTCCGACGCTGCGATCCGATTTAGCGCTTGTAGATATGCTAAATGAGGTAGCCTATCGCTGGCCTGGAATAGACACAACAAAATTTTTCTTAATGGGTTATTCGGGTGGCGCTCAATTCGCACATCGGTTCTTATACCTCTACCCTGAGAGGCTGGCAGCTGTCAGTATTGGAGCCCCGGGAAGCGTCACTATCCTAGACCATTCAACTTCATGGCCGACAGGAATAGCAGATGTGAAAGAGCTTTTCGGAAAACGTATCGACATAAATTTGATCAAGCAGGTTAAAATACAACTGGTTGTTGGCGATGCTGACGTTGAAGTTCACGGCGGGATGGAATTTTGGATCTGGTTACAGAAGTTCAAGGCTGCGAAAAGCGCTGACTTATCGAGCAACGTGGAATGGAACAAAACCTCAAATAAGGAAATTGTTCAAAATAGACTGGGAATTTTGAAAAGATTACAGGCATTATGGCAGGAAGATGGGATCGATGCGCAGCTTGATATTGTAGATGGGGCTAGGCACGAGAGTCTCAAATGTCAAAGTCGCTCTTTAAAGTTCTTACAGCCACTGATTCAGGAATGATAACTACACTATAGCATGAAAAATCATATTTTTATAATTTAAGATATAACAGGGCTACAGATGATTTTTTGCTTGGTCCCTAATATTTGACAGCTACTATTCGCCACCCTGCAAAAACGTCAAGACATAGGCCTACATCTTTCCGCATTCTCACCCCCAACCAACCGCCATATAGTGCTATATCCATGGTTCATCAAAGTAGTTGTTTGAAGGCGAGGCTAGAAATGCGAACAGGTCGTCATATGTATTAGGAAGCCAATCACTCCACTCAGATGATATAGCGTCAGGTCTAGGAAGCCTAGGCTGGCCTTCTGGCTTGTCTATATTTGCTGTTAACGAGGAACTGGCTATGGATTAGATTGCATACACTTACCAGTGTCCGCCTGGGTGGCAGCTGTTCGCTCACGGATTTTCCTTGCAATTCTTAGGCTATCGTCAACTATGGTAGCACTTGGATCCCCGCTATCGTTACTAAAATATTCCGATGAAATTTTGTCCTCTGCATGTCGAGATAAAAGTCCAATCATCCTTGCAGTTCGAAAGGGCTCGTCTAATTCCTCTTTCGACCAGGCCAAAAAGTTCTCGTACACTTCTTTTATCTTATTACGGGCCAAGGTTCGCTCTTGGGGCTGAGTATCACAACCAACAGCGAGAAATTTTGCCAAATACATCCCAGAGATGCATAAAACGCGGAAAAAGTGTTTTGGGTAATGCACTGTTTCAGCTCCATGCACTTGGAGCTCGTGAGACAATAGCTCTTCCGCTGGACGCTGTGGATAGCATGAACGTAAAGATGTATAAATGGTTGTAAGCTGTATGGCCACGTGAAAGCCTCTGTACCAAGCTGCCCACTCCTGTGTATTTGATGTTTCCACCTCTTTCGAAATTAACGTCAATGAAGGTATAGAACATAGGCGCAGTTTTGCAGCCAAGAAGTCGATATGGTATCGCTGAGAAACTCGGGTTTTCATATTGGCTCCTAAAGAATCTAGATCGCGCTCAAGAAGGCCCACCAGGGACATCTGCAACTGTTTCGTAGAGGAATTATCATACAGAGTCGTGAAGACCCGAATGGAATGTTGCTGTAACTCGCATCGCGCCCAAAATTCATCAGAAAAATGAGACTGAGTGTATGATTTGACAATTGGTAAACGCCCAGTGACGAGACTCATCGGTGGTGGAAAACCATAATCGGTTGCTAACCTAAATCAGTAGACACATTAATGGCCCCAATTCATACCACCTATAAAGGGAAATTAATCATGGAATCGTACTCTGTACTGATAACGAAACAACCTATCCATGATTTTAAATAAGCAATTGACTGAGCGGATCTTTTGCCTTCGGTATGAATAGGCTCGTGGATGCCTATTTGCTGCACGGCTGAAACAGCAAGGTTGCAGTAATTCCAACTTGGATCGTCACACTGTCTTGCAACGGGCATCGGCCAGGTACAGAGCAGTAATAGTGCTTGAATTGTATATGTACAATCGATTGTTCGAACTACGTATTCGGAGAGTAGTCTGTGAAAAGCAGATTGCAGCTGTGGGAATTGTCGATTGAAAAGGGGGTGATTCCGTGCTGATATTAACAGAAGTGCCCAGAAAAGGACATCACTTGCTTGATAAATAGAAGTCGCGGATTTCTCAATGTCTATAAACGGGACGTGATCAGAATAATATTGTTGAAAGCTGTACTGGGTTAGCAGGATTCTCTTTTGTATCCTGGGATTCAAACTTGCTGCGCTAGAAGCTCGTTGACAATATGAGAGTCGAATTTCACACCGCTAAGCTCATAGGTCAAGATGGTGGTAGTTGGCATGCGGGTTTCGATAGGCAAGGGGGTATGAGGTACTGTATGTTTCGCGCTATCTGTTTCCTGGCTTTGGAATGCAGTCGTTGAGCTGGCACTATCGGCCGCAGAAGAATTTTTGTATGAATCTATGAGCCTCTTAAGCTCTTCTTTTTCTTCGATCGCCTTTTCTAAAGCCCTAAGGGCAGTAAAAAGGGTGGAGTGGTCATTAGAAAAGGTTGGTATATGAAGCGACTGAGACAATTACTGCTTACCCTCTAACGACTTGTCTCTTGAATCTTGGATCAAAAATGCATGCTTTTACTTGCCTCTCACATCTAGAACAAGGAGCTGGGAACCGCTGCTGTGCATCGCATCGCAGCTGACGGAGTAATGCAGTTAGTAAAAAGAATTGTGGCTCCCCGATATTAAAGGCGTGCTTAGAAAAGCATACCTTAACCTGCCGGCACGTTGTGCATGCCATGGAAGTGCGCGAAGCTCGCCTGGTGCCCGGCATTGTCGGTCCTGTAGATGAATGTTCCGATTCTATGCTAAGTTACAATGAAGAAGCGAGCCGAATTGCGTATTCGCTGTAGCTTGAAGAAGGCTACACGTGCTGCCGATTTTCGCTTGTCGGGCCGAGTGGGAAATCCGGTAAGCCCGAGCGAAATTCGCTTCAAAGTCTTGCACACAGGGCAAAGTTGCTGATTGCTAGCAGTGATATTTTATATAACTAATGTCAAGTAACCAAATACTGTGAGATATTGTCATTTACATCAGTTTATCCTCCCGCCTTATGCTGATGTCATTAAACCACTGAAACATGGCATCTAACGCGAATGTCGGCAATGGGTTGGAGCCCCTCTGTCGCATCATTACTCCTATTGGCATGCTAGGGTATGGCTTCGACGAATTTGAGATCAAATATGCTCTGGAATCTTCAATTCAGAGCGGAATACCCGCGGCAATTATTTTGGATTCTGGCTCCACTGACTCTGGACCTGCAAAGCTGGCTCTCGGAACTATGACTTGTCCGCGTGCATCTTACGAAAGAGATCTGCGAAAACTTGTCGCTACGATAATAAAATATCGCTTTCCGGTGCTCATTGGATCAGCAGGAGGGGATGGAAGTAATGCCCACGTTAAGGAGCTTGTGGATCTCGTGAAAGAAATATTAGCGTCGTCTGAATACAAGTAAGTATTTCATCTAATTAGAGTTCCTGCTGTTGCACCTACTGATTGTTGCGATCTGTTGCCTGCTAGCTCTACTCAGTTAAAGGTTATAGCAATATATAGTGACATCGACTGCGATCTTGTGCTAGAACGTCTTGAGGCGGGAGGCATCTCTGGGTGTGGTCCCTGTGTTCCTCATTTGACAGCCGAAGATGTAAAGGCCTCGAAGACTATTGTTGGACAAATGGGTCCGGAGCCTTACATACGAGCCATGGCTTCTCATCCAGATTTCGACATCATTATCGGTGGCCGGTCCTACGATCCAGCGCCATACGTTGCTTTCAGCGCTTATCATGCATTTAATCAACGTCATGGTCAAATACTTTCCCTGGATAGTCGCACATTAGGAGGATTCACTCATATGGGCAAGATAATGGAATGCGGTGGCCTATGTGCTACGCCTAAAAGCCCTTCTTGCCAGGCGACCATCTACCGAGATGGTACTTTTGATGTGAGACCCCTTATGCCCGGTGCTCTTTGCAGTCCTACTACCGTCGCAGCGCACACATTATATGAAAAATCCCGTCCAGATCGACTTTATGGGCCTGGTGGATATATTGATTTGTCTGCTTCCACATATACGACATTATCCGATAAATGCTCAGTCAGGGTTACTGGGACCACCTTTCACTCCTCGAAAGGCAGTGGCGACTGCTATACAGTGAAATTGGAAAGTGCTAAAATCATTGGATATCGAACTATGTTCATGGGTTCTTTCATTGATCCTATTCTTATTTCTCAGTTACATTCGCTTTTACATGGAGTGAAGAGCTATGTAACTCAGCAGCATTCCCATATCTCAGAAAAATGGGAGATTGGGTTCCATACGTATGGATATGACGAGGCAAATAAAACCGCTTATATGGGTAATATTTTTGTAGTTGCTGAAGCAGTCGCCGAGACACAAGCAACAGCAACCAGCATTGCTTCCACTGCGAGGGTTGCATGCATTCATGGACCATATGAAGGGCAGAAAGCAACGAGTGGCAATTTTGGTTTTGGATTGGGGGGGAAGGGGGAAATTGAGGCAGGTCCATGCGCGGAATTTTCGATTTATCATTTAATGGAACTAGAAGAGGAGGAGGAAGATGCCTTTGAAATCAATCAACAGGATAAGAGAGCGAAGAAACACCTATTTTCCTTTGAGGCTTTACTTATCGGAGTGGGAGATCGTGTCCAGCGCTGCTCTTCACGTCTGCATAATAACTTCACTTCAACTCCGGGGGATATGTTTCCGCAGCTTACCCCAGACGATGCGTGGCCAAACACGGCTGAGGTTCCTTTCATTCTTCCCCATACAGTCGGCGAAGCAGCAAAGGTCATAAGGTCAAAAAACGCTGGTCCATACGAAATTACATTTGACATAATCTTCAACAACAAGGAAACTTACGACTATGTCAGAAATACCGGCCTTCTTCAAACTGACTTAATTGCAAAGTTGTACAATCTCTCCGTTGATGACATTGTATATTGTGGGTTTTTCGACCAGGCTCTAGCATTCAAAGCCACGATTCCCCGCACCCGCAATGGAAAACCTGTTGCATCCGGCGGCTTCATGGAAGATGATGTTCATGGGTCACAGAGATATTTACCTCTTATGAATCTAAGACTAGACATTATGGGATAAATACCTACTTGAAGTTAATTAGACCTGCCAAGAGCAATAACTGCGATATAGAAGCGTTGTTTTCGAGAGTATGGGCTTTTTTTCTATGTAAGTAATTATATACTGATATATTGGTATTTATTGCTAGAAGGTATTCTGGGCATGTCGTCCTAGAAGAAAAGCTGAGAGAAAGGGCAATGTAGGTTTATTTCCCTTTATCCACTATTGTTACTTCTACCACACCTGGTCGTTATTGTTGAACAAGGTAACGTTAAGTCCGATCTAACTATATAAATTATATAGATTTTACATATATAAGAGGTCCTGCCTCCTGGCTTTTTAACTAAATAACTAAGACCTTTTAATAATAATTAATTACTATTATATTATTTACTTTTTACCTTTAATAGGTTATAAGCCTGGATAGTAATTAATTCTTTAATTAATTAAAATTAAATAAAATAATAATAAAATAATATCCCTGTTAATTAAAATTAATAATATATTAAATAATATTAATAAGTTACTTTTATTAATATTAAGCAAGGATAATAAAATATTAATATTATTATTTAAAATAAAAAATCTATAAATTAAAAATAACCTTTTATTTTATTTAAATAAAAATAATAATACTTTTCTTCTTTTAATAAAACTATATTTATTATATTATTAAATATTTAAAAAAAATAAATATTTAATATAACCTTTAACCCCAGCCTCTATAGTTAATAATTAAGTTAAAGTTTATATAAAAAAATTAATTTCCTACTTTAATTAAAAGCATTAATAAAACCCTAGTTAAGGCATTTAAGTCTAGCTATAAAAAAAGCCTATACTTTAATTTATCTGCCTTTAACTTAATACTTTTTTTAAGTTAATTTACTTTTAAAAAATTAATTTATAAGCTAGACTTTAGTTAAAAAATCTAAAACCTAAAAGTTAAAAGTTTATTTTTAAAGCCTAAGGTTTAATAATAAAAAGTAAATATATTATAAAAAATAAAATAACTAGCTATAAAAAGTAAACTAGCTATTAAACTTAAAATACTTAAATATATTTAAAATCTTTAAATTTAAAAAGGCAATAGTTATAATTAAATTACTTAAGTTATTAAATAATTAAATTATATAAAAATAAAAAATATAAAAAATAATTAAAATTAATAAATTTAAAGATTTTTTTTAAAAAAAGGCTTTAAAATAAAAGGCAGGTAAAACTAATAATAAGTTTATTAAAAGAAAAAATAATTAAAAAAATTATTAAAAATAAATAATTACTTTTATTTATAGCTGTTTTTTATTTTTATTTTATAAGCTTATATAAAAAAAAATAATTTTAGCTATAATAATAAAAAAACTTAAAAATAAATATAAGCTAATAGGCAGTATTATTTTTTAAAATCTAGACTAAAAATATACCTTTTTAATATTAAAAAATTATATTAATATAGTAAATTTTATTTAAAAGCTTTAAATTATATATAAAAAACTTTTATAGCTAAATAATATAGTTTAAATAAAAACTTTAAATTTTATTAATAAATTTTTTATTAAATTAAAAAATAATTATAAAATCTTTTTTATTACTTTTTATTAATTATATAGGCTATTATTAAAAAAAGCTAATAATAGTAATATAATAAAGGCAGCTGTTACCTTTAAAAAAGCAGTTATAGCAGCTAAATAAAAAAAACTATTGCAGAAATAATAAAGCCTTAATCTTACATTCCTGTCTATAAAATAATAGCTTATTTACTAATACTACTACAAGCTAGAATATATTAAAAATAAGTATTTTTACCTTTATTTAAAACTATAAGCTTAAATTATTATAAATAGTAAAAAAAAAAAACTTAAAGCAGTAAGATAACTATAGTTTATATTAAATAATATATAAAGTAAAGAAAATATAGCCTTTGCCTTTTTATAAAATATAAGCTTATTAAATAAAGCTTTAATTAATAAATTCTTTTTAACTAAAGTATAATTTAACTATTTATAAGTAATAGAAATAATAATATTAAAGATAAACTTATTTATAGTTTTTATATTAAACAGCAGTGCCTTTAATTATATTATTTATTTAAAGAATTACTTTTAAACTTATAATAAATTAAATAAAGTATTAATAATTAAAATTAAAGAAATTTAACTTACCCTAAAAGAATCTAGTAATTATTTATTAAAAACTATAGTAAATAAAAAAATCTAAAAACTTAATTTAAGTAAAATACTTTATATCTTTAATACTAGATTTAACCTTATATTAGTCTTTTAATTAAATAAAATAGATTATATATTAATAATATATAATTAAAAAGTAATTATTATAAAAAAAGGAATAATATTTATTACAACCCGCCTCTTATGGTTGCAACAATGGGCCTACAGGGTAGGCTAAACTGGATTAATATAGAACCGACCTACTAATTATAATAGGATTATTAAATTATTATAATAATTTAATAATCCCTAAATAAATTATTAATTTTATAAAATAATCTATAATAAATTATTAAAATTTATAAATAATTTAGCTTAATTAACTAAATATATAAATTTATTTTTTATATTTATTTAAATAACTTAAATAACTAATTATTAATATAGTTTTATATTATAAATTAAAAAGCACTTTTAATCTTTATTAATAACTATTATTATAATATTATTGCCTATAGGTTTTTTAACCTATCTGCTAATATAAACCTAAAGAATTTATTTTAGGTTTATCTTTTAAAAATCTACCCTATATTAACTATTTAATATATAGTTTATTATATATTAATAACTTTTATTTAAATAGTTATTAAACCTATAGGCAATAATAGAAATATAGCAGGCAATAGTTAGTAAAGAA